ACACGCGCGCACACACACACACGCACACACACACACACACACACGCACATTCATTCAAATCAAGATCAATCTGAATCTGAAAATCGTGTTTTTTTTAAGACCAAACTGTGGAATTACATTTTCCAGGTCCGTCACGTGACGCCATATATTTACATTTGAAAAGAGACGTCTGCAACTCAGCTTCGGTACATCAGCTTCCCAGTACTAACATGTATACGGCCCTTATTTATATCATTAGGTCCTAAAAATTGTAAAATCCACAACTAGCTGTATCCAGAGTTGTTTTTCTTCCTCCGTTCATGTGAATGAGTCAGAAAACGAGGCTGGCCCGAGGACATGTCGAGGGATGCAAGGGAACAAAGTAACATTAATTACACAATCAACACTCTAGATGAGAAATCCAGAGCATAACAACAGCGTGATTAAGTTATTGAATTAAAGCAGTCCTCGTATGTTTTTGTCTCGACCGTATCTTAACCACGTCACGCGATAGATCTGCTTTAATAGAATCGCTTGTGAACTCTCACATGAGGCTTTGACTTGCAACTCAACATTTAGCCCACTTTGTTGGGAAAACTAAGTTATATATCGTTTGTCCATACCGCCCAGCATGAACTCTGCTCCGTATCCACTTATGTACACTAAGTTATATATCGTTTGTCCATACCGCCCAGCATGAACTCTGCTCCGTATCCACTTATGTACACAACAACATGCATACAGAATACTTCCCCTAACAATCAATTCCCATTCCCGGCACCACCTACCCGATGACGTAGAGGTCGGGGCTCTTTGGGGAGTTCAGGTGGAGAAGCAACGTCACGTCATCTGGAGGATCTGCTGTGGCCACATTCCACGTCACCATGTGCAGCCTGAGGCAGACGGGGGAAAAAAGGAAGTCATTCGTGCAGCACATGCATCTAGAAATATAGAGATTCCTGCTCTACAACATCAGGAGGATTCGCCCCTTCCTCACTGATGAGACGGCGCAGGTGCTCATCCAGGCTCTTGTCATCTCCCGCCTGGACTACTGCAGCTCTCTACTTGCCGGAGCCCCGGCGTCGGCCATCAGACCTCTGGAGCTTGTCCAGAAATCTGCAGCTCGCCTGGTGTTCAATCGCCCCAAGTTCTCCCACACAACTCCCCTTCTCCGTTCTCTACACTGGCTCCCTGTAAGAGCTCGCATCCAGTTTAAGACTCTGGTGCTAGCCTACAGGGCAGTGAGAGGAACAGCTCCTTCCTATCTCCAGGCCATGGTCAAGCCCTACACCCCCGCCTGACCACTTCGCTATGTTGCCCCGTGGCTCAGAGGTCCCTGCGGCCGTTCGACCCGGTCACGGCTGTTTTCTGTCCTGGCCCCACAGTGGTGGAATGAACTCCCCACTGAGGTCAGGACAGCAGAGTCGCTGCCCATCTTTCATCAGGCTGAACACTCACCTCTTCAAGAAGTACTACCCTGAGCCTTCCACTCACCACTTATTGTTTTCATACTAGTTTGTTTCTGTACTTAGACTCTGGTTTATGCTCTTAGATGCTTGTGTAAACTGAACATGCGATTGGGTGAGACGTTGTACATTTCAAAAAACTGTACTTCAAAGAGTAAATCAAAGAGCTTCATTCAGTTTGGTCAAAAACCAGAGCTGAGCTCGTTACAGTAAAAACGCTGTTCAACTATCACAAGCAGCTCAGGCTGCTGCAGTTAACTCATAAAGAGACCAGTCATCATTTCTCCCAAACTCTTAACATTCATAGAAAGTTGAATTTTTCACGCTTTGCAAGACAGTAAAACGTCTGACAGAAAGTACAGAGTACAGAGCTGAATAAAAAGAGGAAGAGGAACAGTATTTATTCCTCTCTTTCTGGCTTCAGCACACAGAAAACTCTCCACCTGAAACTGTCCTTTCTCAGCCTGTTGGCTCTCCTGCCACAGGCGAGGAAGGCGTCGTCCAGAGTCTTGACCATCTTCTCGTGCAGCTCGTTTCGGGGGTCCAAGTCATCCACGCACGTCATCAGCTGGTGGAGCCGATGGCGCAGCACCAGTCTGCTGGCCGTGGACTGCGTGGCGTCGCTGGAGAGGCTGTCGGAGCGGAGACGCCCCGCCAACAGCCGACCGATTTCATCCATTCTGGCTCAAAGTAGTCAATGCAGCGAGGTGCGCTGAGCGTTGGTCAAGTGACAAAATACAAAAAGTGTTTCCTAAAAGGTCCCAAAATTGTTTTTAAAAGAAAAAAAAAATCACAAATTTGACGATTTAAGTATGAGCCACAGTCCGACGTTTAGGTTGTTTCTGTAGAATCAAACCACTGAAATGAGGAAAGGATTTGGGTGCTCCAGGAGTTGGACTGTGTGATCAGGGGATTGTTTACGAGTCGTCTTTGTGCAATAAAAAACTACGTATAATCTCTTGTAAAATGTCTCAACATTAGGCCTATTAAACAAATTGAGAAACCAGCTGCATGAACAAAAGCATTCTTTCCCTTTGGGGGAAAACGCATTGTTTCAAATCCGCATTAGGTCTGTTGTGTTGGGCAACCTAATCCTCCGGCCACAATGCAGTCACATTTGCAGACTGGCCAACATTGCACCCTGTTAAGTCTCGCAACACGTTCAACCCTGAAGGAGACGGACAGCTGTGCTTCTGGAGGACTGGTACCGAACGGCAGACACCGACACGAAGAGCTCGTCAACGACTGATCCACACCTGTAACAGTGTTCACCATCCTTTCTTAAGAATCAGTTTTCAGGACGTTTTCGAGCTGATATAACAGACATTGTATGAAATGTCTAATACGATTTCGTGCCGGTTGCCTCCATAACATCACATGAGTTCATTCACCACCATCCAGCTATCCCATTATTCCCTGACAGCACGTTACTTTATACTTAAGGAACAAGACACATAAGCAGTTTCTTCCCATGTGACGTAACTTTTATGAGCGGTAAACCCGACTGTTTTATGACATGACAGAACAACTGTGCAATAATTACCTACACACACACACACACTTTCATTATACTTATCAACACTCATATTTCAACAGGTGGACACATTGTAGGTCGTTAAAAACACTCACAATAACTTGATCATGGTGAATTTCCATTATCGGGAAAATCGTGAATATCGTCAGGAGTGACTTGAAAAAGCTTCACAGCTCATTATTATGACAGAGAAGTGGCAAAATAGAGCCTGAACAAGCTCACACTATCTTTATTCATGTATCCCGTATTTAGTCAGGGAGACCTGATGAGTTATGATTACCTTATTAAAGATTGCTTGTTTGATTTTTCATTTAAAGAGATGCGTCCTACCTGTGATGCAATAAAGATATGTGTTTCTGAACAGAATATTAAGGTAAAGAGATTTCTAGAGCGTTTAAGTGCCATAATAGGAGTTTCTGAAATATTTTTGATGATTATCAGAGATTATTATTTTGGCCAGGACACTCATAACATGACATGTTCATGTCTAGTTCATATTATATGTGTGTCTACTCATTCTGTGTCAGGCCATTTAAAAGTCCCTCAATGAAGCTGCATAACCTTAAACTAGTCTGCATAATTAAGAAAGTCCCTCAATGAAGCAGCATAACCTTAAACTAGTCTGTGCATAATTAAGAAAGTCCCTCAATGAAGCTGCATAACCTTAAACTAGTCTGTGCATAATTAAGAAAGTCCCTCAATGAAGCAGCATAACCTTAAACTAGTCTGTGCATAATTAAGAAAGTCCTTCAATGAAGCTGCATAACCTTAAACTAGTCTGTGCATAATTAAGAAAGTCCCTCAATGAAGCTGCATAACCTTAAACTAGTCTGCATAATTAAGAAAGTCCCTCAATGAAGCAGCATAACCTTAAACTAGTTAGATGGTTCTGTGCATAATTAAGAAAGTCGCACCTGAAGCTCTCTGCCTCGTAGTTTCTCTTCTGCTCCTCAGTCTCCTCCATCATCTCCACACCTGGACATGCAAAAGACACAAATCCTCTGTATATATCTCTAACACACAATATGGAGCCTGAATACAGGAGAAATACGCTTAGAAAATCAACAATAAAGCACCAACGTTGAGCTAAACATTGCTAACGTTGATGACAACGTGAATCTGCTAGTTAACATATTTCCAACTTGTATGAACAAATGTTATTTGTACCACACTAACGTTACCTGATGGGCTTTGGTCGTACTTGTTTTCGTTGTTGATGTAACTACTGGAAAACATACAGTAACAGTAAACACGCAGCAGCAGCCTTACAGGTTTAGCTAATGTTGTTTTAATGTTCCGGAAAACAGTTTAGCTGCCTTCAAAATAAAAACGTAACATCGTTACGGAAGTGAAGAGTTAAAACTATCAACTTTTAATTTAACTTATTACGAATTCCTTGAAGAATGTATTGTGTATTTATTTGCCAGCTATCAATTATAAGTTATGAGAGTAATTTCCAAACTATTGTATGATTTGGATATTAAGAAAGATTTATTTAGTCTATCTTCCACAGCTTTTATTCTGAAGGATTTAAGCATGTCCCTGCCCCTTATCCGGAAAAGGGTTTATCTGCCTTCAAAATAAAGGCGTAACATTGTCACGGAAATGAGTTAAAACAGACAACTTTTATAGTGTGTATCCATTTGCCAGTTATCAATTACAAATTACTTTAATAGTCAAAAGTAAGCTATAAGAGTAACTTCCTTCCTAGTTTGTGAAAGACTTATTTACAGTTCTTCCACAGCTTTTATTCTGAAGGATACAAGCGTAACGTGTATTGTCGTTGTTGCGTTTATTAGCGTATTTGTGAAACAGAGGCCAATAGATTGGTGCAAAAACGACACCTAAAACCAAGGAATATTTAATGTTGTATATATTATAATATAGTGTGTATCCCTTGCCTAAAAACGAAAATAAGTTAGTTTTATGTTTGTACTTCCGGTTCCCTCGACTCAAAGTCAATGGGTTTTTGATAAAAGGGCAGAAATACTTTTTGGGAATTTCAAAGATTATTTATTTTAAAAAGGCGGTCGCTAACAATCCGAAGGAAAAACCCCATTTACATCTGCGTTTGTGTATTATACTACCTACATATGTTCTCTATGTGCTGCTAATTTTTACATGAATTATTTTGTCAAATAAAAAATAAACTGCAAAAGAGACTAATTTCCACCCAGAAATAATAAAAGGAACCATCACATCTTCTGAAGTATGTCTCAGACGCTAGTCATGTCTTCTGATTCAAGCGATAGTTTGTGACGGCAGCAAACAATAAATGTGATCGTTCCCACAGTTAAATGGGTCTTTGCTCACTAATGTAAACTTTTTTTTTTTTCTCAGCAGAAGTACAATGTACAAATATCCTAAAGAGCAAGGAACAAATGCATTTACTTAAATATACTGCACACTCATAACATTAAAATCTGGGTTGTACCATTCAACATAGGACACGATTTAAAAAGACGAAGGCCAAAATTTAAAAACAGAACCTCATCATGTGTCAACGATTTTGAAATCTGCAGAGTTCAGATTTTTACAGTACATATCACCAACACTCGAACCCTCCACCCAAAGCTGACATCTTCGTATGAGGCTAAAACAACCACCTGACAAAACATCAGGTGTAGTCAGACCAGATTTTTATTATGTTAAATAAGATTACACATGTCTGAAGTAAATGCCTCATATGTAGTAGTTTTTACATAAATCATAAGCTGTATTTTAATTGCCTCCAGCCACCATGTAATGAATTTCAAGTTTGACAAAACAGAGATAACGACATTAACAGATTTCTTTTGTTCAAAAGCACTGATCCTAGAAACTGCAGCTTTTGTGGAAAGGAGAGACCGTTAACAATAAATAAAAACAATAAATCAGTTGAGAACTGAAAAAAAAAAAAAAAAAAAAATCAAGAAAAAGAACAAAACCCAAATAACTAATTAAAATCAGTAATCAGAAATGTTTCCTCAGTGACAGCCCACACCTAATATTTTAGAATGTAAGAGGACCTAACAGACATAAGCAAGAACGCTTCATCCTCAAAACGGATCCTCTGACTTGCAAACCTGACCAATAAAAAAACAAAAAAAATACTAAAAGTTGCTTTAGTTGTATTCAAATGTTGTAGATAGATACACACAATTGCTTTATAATAATGAGCTCTTATTAAGAGCAGTTTTCTTTTTATTCGGATGCAAGTGTGGTATTCTTGATTATGCCTATCAGGCTGTTTCTAGGTCCAGTGTCCAAAGAGAGGAGCGTGAACTTGTTGAGTGAAGTCAAAGCCTCTCGTATCGGAAGGTGATCTGAAGAGGAAAAAACGGAACAAGTTACAAAAAACCATCAATCGTAAATTTACAAATGTCACCGAAAAACGAGAAGTTAATACTCACCGGGCGAAGCCAGTCAGTTGCAATCATCATTAGCATCCAAGCCTTTACGTTCATCATTCGCCCTCATCTATGACACGGAGAAATATCATAAAGATTACGGCAAGTTACGTATTGCTGCCACCTTGAACAGCATTTTTTTCCCTTTGTACCAAACAATATCTCATGTTATGACAGTTATTACTACATAGCCTTCCAGATTATTCCATTTTAACAGGCAAGTTTTTTTATAACAACATGTTTTGTCACGATGACTACATCCACTTCTTATATACAGTCTTTATGAAGTAGTATGTTCCGATTGAATGCATACCGAGTGTAACAGTACGTACTTTGTAAGTATTTAAAATAAAATTAAAATGCTATGAGTGACAGCACTGGCAGTGCAGAAGTAATGCAAAACAAAACAGGTTTTCCTTCGAGTAATCACAGCTCAAGTCACCTTATCCAGCTCCTCCTTCGTCTCCGCCTCCATGCGTCGTATGTCGTCCATCGACAGTCCGATCCATTTGTCGATCCAGCAGAACAGCTGTCTGTGGAACTTGCCGAACACACGATTCTCCACCTGGACAGACGGTGTGTTTTGAGAAAGACAGCGTGAGGACACAGAGAATTATTGTGTGGCATCTCGACTCAAAGTTTATAAAATGTACTTTCGTCGGTGCAGAAATGTGCCTATTGGCCACCAGTAGGAAATACATCTTAAGATAAAGCCAACCGTACCTTTTGAATCATGCTTTCCACTCTGCCCTGAAGCAATAACCACTTGAATTCAACAGTCACTAACTTATAGGCACACATGTGTGGACAGTCGGGGTTGTCAGCGAGTTCTTTCTGCAAACACATAGATGCAAAGAAAACATAAAAACACAAAGTCTCCAGGCCTTACAATTTAATTTTCCTTGAATAAAAAAAAACAGCAACAAGAGATGTAGTACCTTCCAGTTTGGTCCCAGAGGCCCTCTACCGGTCTTCTGTGATTTAAAGATGGCTGGGTCTTCCTCTGCGTTATAGTCCTAAAGAATGAATGCAACCAGTAAGTAGAGGCTTCACCCTCGGTGTTAATTATGGTCGCTATTTTAGATTTCGTCTTTAGATGAAAATGCTGATTAGTTTCAGTCAAATTTTTGTTATTTTCATCCTTCATGATTTTAATCCGGTTTTAGTCGACGACAATTCAAAACATTTTAATCCAAAACCTGACAGAGCTCTTTCCCTTACCTTTGCATTGATGCAACTTCTGTCAGCAATATCAATGTCAACTATTGTCCTTTTTTCCAACTGGCTTTTATCCAGTCCGTGTACCTGCAGTGGGGCGAAATCAAACCATCACTTTGGTTCAGTTTCTTTTAAAAGGCAGGGAGCAAATATCACACTTCATGTTAAAAAATAAAAACAATTACGACGGAAAAAATATATCTTTTATAAGTAGTTTAATATACAAACGTTTGTATGAATTAAGAGTGTAAACAAGTGCAAATATAACAATGCCCACCTCAGAGCAGACAGGAGAGTCATTTTAATAACCATCAATTAAAAAAACAAAATGTTTATTTCTCATCAGTACGTTTTCCAGGTAATGGATTATTAACCTGTATGGAGGGTAAAGAATGACCACTACTAGTCACATGACTTACATTATCCTGATCCCCCATGTCAGGCTTGTGCCAGGTCTCGATGGTTAGAGTGAACTTGTCACCCATGTATTCATTCTGTAAGATGAAAGATAGGGTCGGTCAATAATCACATCCTGATTGCAGTAGTTTGTGGAGAATATCTATATAAATATTAGCACCATTATGTCATCATGCACACCCTGATACGAAAACAATATACTTACTGTAATGACTGCATTACAGGAAACAGTGGACGGTGATGAAAAGAGAAGAGACACAAGGTTTTAGATTATGCGCGCACACACACACACACACACACACACACACACACACACACTAGCTGTATGTTGTGGTGGAAAGATCCTGAGACCAGGGAGTAATAACCAAACTATAGATTGAGTCTCAAAACTGGTGTTCACTCAAAATGTCAACAATCAAATTACAATTCCACATTCAGAATGAACAGTGAAGGCCACATATCCAGCTATTATCACAATACACAACGTAATCACAGACAGCTGCTCTTTAAAGTATAACAGAGTTCATTAAACTCCAATAATACTGATCAAGTCAAATACTATCCAAAACTAACAACTACTATACAACTACAAGCCTACTATCTCGAATCAACAGGCAATAGTGAGTGTGTGTGCGGGGAAGTGAGAAACTACCCAGACAATGGCAGAATGTAATCTAAAACGTAGCCACGATATCAAAATAAGGGGGTAGTCTCGTACGTGACCACGCCACCCGAGACTACGATAGAGACCCCTCACTCAC